AGCATGAGCTCAATCAAATATATGGGAATACCTCATTGGTTATTGTTTCATTGTTGCTGTATCATATTCTTATAATTTGTGATGCAGGAGCTCAATCAAAAACATCTGGAAACACTGCCTTCGGGATATCAGCTTCTGGGGGCCAACGTTGGGGAAGTAGAGTTCCTCCTTACACACCAACTGAACCAGATGACTGTGTTGGTCTAGAAACTAAGGGAGACCTCCAGTCAATATCGGCGATGCCGATTTATGGAGACAAAACTCACGAGGAACTGAGATGGCAGGATTATCAATTGGGGGATAGAGGTATATTTTACTTAAGAAATTTCTTGTGAGCAATGATGGCCTCTACCAAGTTCTATATATAATAAATGTATAATCTTAAATTTCAGGTGGACCTGTTCCTGCTGGAGGGAGTTGTTTTCCCTTGTCGACCTCAAACATTTTGAATCCTGCACCAACATTTGCTCAAACATCTTCAAGTCTTTTTAACACCTCAACTCCGTCGAATATATTTGCTCCAGAAATTCCATCCTTTAGTTTTACAGGCTCTAGGACCTCATCTATACCATTCACTTCATCAACTTTTCCTCTCTCAACTTCATCCAGTCTTTTCACAACTTCATCATCATCTCCTTCAGTATTCAGACAAGCTTCATCTCCATCTCTTTTTAGTTCATCAGCCCCATCTAAGGCATTTCCTGCTCCAGCTCCAAGAACAGATTCGACATCTAATTCTGGCCTGTTCAATTCTCCATTTGGTGAGCATTTAGATGTATATGAATGATGGTTGTACTTTTTGGAAAAAGAAAAAATTGGACCACTGTTTCTGGAGGTCAAGGAATACCTCATTGTATTTTGTTCCATTGTTGCTTTGTTATATTCTTATAAGTTGTGCCGGGATTCATATTTTTCATACATACAGGAATGCCTCATTGTGATGGACCACTGTTTCTGGAGGTCAAGGAATACCTCATTGTATTTTGTTCCATTGTTGCTTTGTTATATTCTTATAAGTTGTGCTGGGGATTCATATTTTTCATACATACAGGAATGCCTCATTGTGCGCAATCAACAAGGAATATGTAGGAATTCCTCGTGTTTTGTTTCGTTGTAGCTGTGTTATATTCTTATTATAAGTTATGATGCAGGAGTTCAATCAACAACATGTGGAAACACTGCCTGTGGGATATCAGCTTCTGGGGGCCAATTTGGGGGAAGTAGAGTGGCGCCTTACACTAAAACAGCTGGACCAGATGGTGGTTCATTAAGTGGGTTATACCAATCAATATGCGGGATGCGGATTTATGGAGAGAAAAGTCATGAGGAACTGAGATGGCAGGATTATCAACTGGGGGATAGAGGTATATTTTATTTAAAATATTTCAGATCCTCAAAACTTTTGCTTGTGAGCAATGATGACCTTTACTAAGTTCTGTATATTATGAATGTATAATCATAAATTTCAGGTGGACGGGCTCTTGTTGGTGGGAACTTCTTTGACTTGTCTACCACCCAGTCAAACGTTTTGAATCCTGCTCCAGCATTTGTTCAAACATCTTCGAGTCGTTTGAATACCTCAACTCTACCTAATATATTTGCTCCACAAATTCCAGCCTTTACTCCTACACCCTTTGGAGCCTCATTTACACCATTGATTTCACCCAATCTTTTTATACCTTCAGCATCATCTTTTTATGTACCTGGACAAATTTCATCTCCGTCTCTTTTTAGTTCATCAGCCACGCCCACATCTACGGTTGCATTTCCTGCTCCAGCTCCAACAACTTCCACATTTAATTCCAGCCCAATCAATCCTTTATCTTCTATTGCACGAACAGGTGGTACTGCTGGACTAACTACCACTTCCTCTGGTGGGCTGTTTACAATTCCCTCTGGTAATACACATATATCCCATGAAGAGAGGTTTCCATTAGAGGTTAGTGTTACAAACAGCTGTATCAATCTTCTTTTTTAGATTGTTGAAGGTTTTTATTTTACTCCCTTAAGATCTTTGACCTTTTTCGTTGCTAGACTAAAACAGGAGCATTAAGTCATTGAGGTCTTAACTTTTGAGTTAAGGTTACTTAATATGCCATCCCCATTGCTGGCTTGACCTAAGCTTTGCATTGATAGGGTTTTGATCCAGTTCTTTTCAGCCTTGCCCATTAAAAGCATGGTTGTCACCAAACATGGATTTAAATTGCATCTGTGCAGCTTTAGTACACAGGGATTTGAGACAATTCATTAGTGTGTTAATTTGTACCAAGTGATATTTTAGTGTGTTGATTTATATTAAGAATCACTTGTAATTTATGACTAAATATCTCTTTGTTTTTCTGCTAGGAAAAAAGGAGATTGAGGATTAAGATTGCAAGGTCTAATCGTGAGAAAAATGGTCAAAATGTGAGAATGATGCCATCTGGTGAATAGTTAATCTGTATAGTTTTTCCTCTACGAGCTAATGTGAACTTTGTTCTCACTCCTTGCTCTTTTTCCTTTTGCAGTACCCTTCTTCTTCTGTCCTTTCGTGGCCATAGGCGGCGCACAGGCAAAACTAGTAGATGCTATGGACGTCCTACAAGGAGCATTGCTTTAGGTGTTTTTTTTTTTTGTCGGTCAGAAGCATTGCTTTCGGTGTTTAGTTCAATCGAATAGGATTTTTGATGTAACTAGTTAAGCTGTAGTTGGCATTTTCAGGACAAATTTATGTGCAGAATGGTCATTGACTTGGCAAATTTATAAATTTTCTTTTTTGGATCAAGTGGCAACTGTACAATTACTGAGTCATTAGAAAATAATAAAGTAATATTCTGGCAACCAAGGATCAATACATGTTAAAAATGATTTAACTAGAGCCATCTATAGATTTACATAATTCTAATTACATCTTTAGAAGATGGTTAACTTACTCAAAACAAAAGAATGATTACAAAGGTATTTTTTAAAACACCCAAAACAGAAAAGAAAAAATAATAATTTTTAGGCTTATTATCACAAAACATCCCTGACGTTTGCGAAATTATCACATTGCATCCCTAATATTTTTTTGTATCATTAATGGTCCCTAACGTTAATACATGTACTCTTAAATAGTCCCTCTGTCAAAAAAACCGTTAAATTCAAGGGTATAATCGTCAAATCAATCCAAAACTATATAATAAAAAAATTCTTCCCTTCTCTCTTCTTTTCTTTCTTCTTTCTTCTTTCTCTCCGCTTGGCCCTGCTCACTCTTCTTCTTTCTTTCTTTTTTCCTTCCCTTCTCTCTCTCTCTCTCTCTCTCTCTCTTTTTGTCTCCTCTAGCCAC